ATAGTAAAAAAAAACTGTTTTTTTAAAATATCTATTACTAAATATGTATGGTTTTATATGTACAGTATGTATGATATTATGTTTATTATATAAGAGTATCACCTATTACTTCCCGGAGAGTGTCTTAACGACACAAACATAATATATACTGTATATTCCGGTATACTGTATATAGGGAAACAGTTAGGTTTTTATACAGATAGTACTGTAATATTATAGTATTGTAAATAACATTGTTAAGAGAAAAAATAAGATAAAATAAAATTTGTGTCCAATATTTCATTTTCAGTCCACCGACGACTCCATACATTCATAAGTGTAGTTGTATTTCATATACTTATGAAAAATACACAAAAAAATCCCACAAATAATACATTTACAATATATTATATATACTGTATGTGTATGTGTATGTGTATGTGTGTATGTATGTATGTATGTATGTATGTATGTATGTGTGTTTGTGTGTGGGTTGGTGTGTGTTTTATACAGTAAACAAGTGCTTATTTAAGAATGTGATTATTTTATATTTTATTTTTTATTTAAAATCACCAGAGTATTAGTACAATCAGGATATTATATATATTTTTAAAAAATTCAAAAAATTATTTTAAATATGACTTTTTGTCTCTATTTGTTTAGTTAACTATTGGATGTGCTATAAATTATATTAATTAAAACAAATATAATATTTTGTTTAAAAAAACATATTTTGTCAATAAATTAATTTTTTAAAACAAATGTTTACATAATTATAAAATGAAAATCTATTGTTATTAGATTAGACTTTATTGTTTATTAATGTTTAATTATGTGATAAATAAAAAAATATTTTTCTACTATACATAGTTAATGATATTATTTTTGTGATGAAAAAATTGTTTTTAAAAAAACATACAAAATATTTTAAGATGAAAAAATTAATACTTACAATTATAAACATTTTATTTTACTAGCTTTGATAATATTGTATATTTTGATTAAAATTAATTTTTTATTTATTATTTTAAAACAAGTTTTTTTTATAAAAGTTTTATATACTGTATATATTAGTAGCAACTTTAATGATTAAAAATTGTAAACATATAGTTATTTTAGAAAATATGTTTATCTATTTTTTTAAATAAAAATATTGTAAACATTAAAATTTTAATAAAACTATAAAGTAAACAAATATATAGATTAAATATAAATCTATTTTATATTTATTTAATACAAAATAATAGATTTTTAAAGTAAATTTCCATGAATTTCATATTTTTTTGCAATAAAATTATTAAAAAAATAAGTCTTAGTATAATAAATACAGTATTTATTAAATGTTTACTAAATATTTACTAACAAATACCAGTTTATTATTATTATTATTATTATTTTATAAAACAAGGTATTATCTAAATTTAGTATTTTTCTAATAGTTATTTCTATATATATATATATAATCTATAGTTAAACAAAAGTAAAAAAATTATGTAATTGTTGCAGAATTTACTAAAAATAAAAACATCAATTTAAAAAAAAAATATACAGTATATATATATATATATATAAAACAAAAATTATTTATAAAACAAAACAAAAATAGACAAAATCCAGATATTTTTCAAGTTTTTTATTACACAAAGGAATTCATATGTATTTCTTAGAAATTTTTTTTATAAAAAAAAGTTAAAATATATTTATATACAAAAGTTAAAAATATATTTATATACAAAAGTTAAAAATATAAACCAAATTTAGTTTTCGACACTTTCTATTTTAAATATAAACTTTTATAAAAATTATTATTATTATTATTCTAAAAATTCTGTTATTTGTTTTATTATATATATGAAAATATTTTCTTGTATTGCTTCGAGTGATAAAAATTAACGCTTTAAGGATCTGTAAAAAAATAATTTTTAAAAATTTAGTACATATAATATATATATATATTTATATAATATTTTTTAAGTATTCACTCACTCAGATTGTTAAGTCAAATGTGAAAAAAATAAATAATAAATGTATAAAAATATTTTTAACAATTTTTGTATTTTGTTAATACATTTAGATTTACTTTAAGTGTATTTCTTTTACTGAATATTAAACATGCATTAATAATTTTATGGATATAACTATTTTTTGCAAATATTTTTTGTTATTTTTACTTATTTTTACTTATTTTTTTTATCATATTTAATATGTGTTATGTAAAAAAATATATTAACGGTTTTACAATTTTTTTTGTGGGAATATTTTAGTTTCATATTGATTTTAATTTTATATAATTTGATAAGTCTAATTAGTGTATTGACATTTTATATTTAATTTAGATGGCATATAAAATTTATTTTACCTAATATTATAAATTGTTTTTTATTTTATTTAATATTATTAGTGATATTAACAAATAATAATAATTATATTTTTACATTACTCTCAATTCAGTTAAAATAGTAATAGATTTTATATAATAATATAATAATGTATTTTAAACAATAGTAAAGTAGAATATAAAAATTTAGAAATTAGATTAAAATTTATTTATTTTTTGTATAAGATATCTAGAAATTGATTGTAATATATTATTTATATTATTTTTACGATAAAACATATCATTATTAAATCAATATAAATGGGTTGAATTTTTAAATTGCTTTATTTTTTAGTAAATTTAATATTATTAGTCAATTGTTTGCTAAATTAAATTTCTAAATCAAAATCATAAATTATAAAAAAAATTATTTAGACTTTTGCTAACCAATAAAAGTCAATAACAAAAAATATTTTTCTTAAAAATAATTAAATTCATATATATTATAAAAAATTTTAAATCAAAACTAATATATTATGTAATTAAATTATTGAAGTAAAAAAATATTTTGTAAAATAAAATTTAATTGAATTATCTGATTACAGTAAAATCTAGATATAATAGTATGTTATTATTGTAATATACTGTATAATTAGGTATTATTGTCACTGAGCTATCCAGTGATAGATTTATAAAAAAATAAATATTTTTTTTATAAGTTTAGCATAATTTATAATTAAAACATTTAAGAAAACAAATGAGTTAAACACATATATAACAAAATTTCTATTTATAGTAATTATTTTCAATCACACAAATATATTTTATATCAACTTTGAAAAACTTGTAATCAAAATTTTAAGTTTAAAATAAACAAGTTATTTAATTTGTAATATAGTTTATTTTTAAATTTTTTTTATTATAAATTACCCTGGACTTATCAATCAATCAATGATATCTATCACTGTATAGTATAATTAAATTAGATTTATAGTTAAATAAATATATATATATAGTTTATTAATATTATTATAATGATTATGTTAAATTATGTCATTTTAAAAAAACATTACACAATAGTTAACGAATAATTGTAAAGCATTTTATTTAGTAATAGTTATATTGTTTTAAAACAAAAGTGTCTTTTTTAAAAATACTAAGTCGAGAGATAGATAGATAGATAGATAGATAGATAGATAGAGAGAGAGAGAGAGAGAGAGAGAGAGAGAGAGAGAGAGAGAGAGAGAGAGAGAGATTGAAAACCGCTAAATGTATGGTTAAAATGAATTGCACTATTTATCATAATGTTTTGTATATATATATATATATATACAGTATGTTTTGTATACAAATAAATGTTTTACTATTTGTAAGTTAAGAGAGAAAGAGAGAAATCCTTTTTTAAATAAAAATCCCATTTAATGTAAATAACTATCACTTTTGTGTTCATTAAATTTATGTTAAAATGTTTAAAAAAAATGGTTTTAAAATGCAATGCTTTTGATAGTATGTGCTTTTAAGTAGAAAAAAATAATATCATAATATAAAGTGTATTATATATTTTTATGAAAGAAATTGACCATAAAATAGACATTTTATCATTTTTAATATTAAATAGTTTCAACTAATCTATTTTAACTTTTAAAATATTTTAATATAAAATAAACATATATTATATTATATACACAGTATATATATATATATATATATATATATATATAATACTGTATATAGATTTAAAATTTCTTTTTGTTTATTATATTTTGTTTATTACTAAAAATTTATTAAAATAATGTTTTATAATTGCTATCATCAGTTATAAACATTTTATATTTTAATGTATATAATGAGAGATTGCTATCATTGAAAATTTATTGTACACACACTTATAAATTATTATATATAACTTATTTTATAATAATAAATATAATATAAAACCTAATTAATGCATATTTAAAAATTTCAAAAAACAAAAGAGTTTGAATAAACTATTTTCATTATAGTATTGTTATCATACAAATGATATTATAAATCAAATCAACAAAACAACAACAAAAAATCATATTTTTGTAGAAAATACAATAGTATAATAATAATAAAAAATAATAATAATAAAGATCTTTATATTTATTGTTTTAAAACAAAATTTTTAAAATAATTTTTTTTTGTTGTTGATAAATGTATGTAAAAACTTGAAAATAAATAGTCAAAATTTATTGATTTAACATTTATATGATGTTTTATATTATTTTTTTAAAAGAAAATATTGTCATAACTATAAATTATAATTAATAGAAAACAATTTTTTTTATAATAAAAAAAATGAAAATAAATTAAATAGTTGTTTAGTTTCAATTTATTTACATTTTCGTGTAAACAAAAATTATTTATCTATAAATCAAACAAAAATAATATCTATTTATATATATATATATAATTTATATTTTATTTTATTTAAATATCGAAATAATACTAAAAAATGAAAATCACATTAAATTCACATTAAAAGTTAGTTTTTTTTTTAAAAATATTTATTATTTTATAATGATATTCACAATACTGTACATAAAAATATTTAACGTAAATAAATAGTAATTTTATTTTATTAATGTTAAATATTTTTTTAAAAAACTAATATATGTTAAATTCAAATTTAAAAAAAAATATTAATATTAATGTATTTATAATATTTATATAATAACAGGCAAAAAGAAAACATTAAATTCAATACTCAATGAAAACAACCATCAATCACATGATAAGCCAAAATCAGGCGCAACTGGCGGCCATCGTATGGGCTGTGCGTCGCCCGAAGTGATGGTC